TATATATATATATATATATATATATATATATATATATATATATATATATATATATATATATATATATATATACACATACACACACACGTATCAAATTTATATTTCTCCAAAATCTCTGACTAGTTTGTGGCGAATGACGCTTATTCGACGAATTCGATGACAGCGAGATGATCTCATTATCATGCATACAAAATCATCAATACTTTACGAGATTGCGTAATCTGCAACAACGGCTTACTCGTGTAGAATACGGCCTTAAGGTAGTAATGTGCAACAGATATCGCGATTCGTCCGTACATTGTTAAGGATTCTAGCGATAAACGTAATGACGCGAGCCCGACATAAGCAAGCAAGCAAGCAAGCAAGAAAGCAAGCCAGCAAGCACGCACGCACGTATGCACGCACGCTCGCTCGCTTGCTCGTGACGACGACGTACAGAACTCAGTATTGACAAACTGTAATTTATTTTCTTCACGATAATACATCATGTTATGCTCTCGTAGTTCTTTCCAGTCGAATTATGCTCGTCAGCTCGTAATAGTAATAGTAATAATTCGTTCTCGTAATAATGATAACATAATTATAAGTAATTCTCATAATAATAACAATAATAATCTCTTCGCTAGCTATGAGACAAAAAGCCTAGCTCATAACACTTGTATATTCGTATGTACCTGTACTCTACGTGCATTTATATATAAATACATATGCAAAAATGTCCGTACATAAATGCAGATGTATATATGTATCGACTCGTTTCCTTGATATGAGTGTAGTGCCGTTCTCTTATAGCATGTGCCGTCCCTTCGAACTCTGATCTCGATGTACGTATTTCATGACTATGCGTAGCATCACCATAAAGAAGATGCTCGCGACGATCCCTAAGAAGATACCGAGAAAAAGCCCGTTGAACATCCTGTCTTCGGCGAAGGTCTTGGCGCTGCTGCTCGGCCTGAGGAATCTGTCGCTGCCGCCGTCCTTGGTCCTAGCGACGTAGCGGAGCCAGTAGACTAGCCGGTCCGAGGCCGGGTTCAGTCTATCGCGCAGCGCTAGCGAGACTTTACGTGCGTTCTCGCGATAGGCAACCGTCTCGTGAATCCTCTGCACAATCTTCGCGATCTCCTCACCGGTGACGTGGTCCTCCGTAGTGTACGCGAAGCCCAGCTCGACCGCGCGTTCGCTGTTGCGGGACTCGTGCGTGTTCCGCGGCAGACATATCACCGGCGTGCCATGAAACGCGACTTCCAGGAACTCCGTATCGGCACAGTGACTCAATACCACACGGGTTCGGCTGTAACCTGTGTGACAATGGAGTGTCGGCGGTTATTAAAGGAGAGAGAGGAAACACGAGAGCCGTGTACTATGGTCTGTCGCGTCATTGTACTCCCTCGCGCGCTTATTGAATTCAACGGTGCCGGAGATCTCGCATTCGCGAGGCACGTATTCTCCACTGTGCACGAGTCCAGCGGAAACGCCCGGATTCGTCGCGTTTTCCTTTTATTTTTGTCGTAATGCGTTATTCGAGTTCTCACGCGATAACAATGCTTTCTGCCGGCACGAAATCTCCAGGCATGTTCCTTTGTACAATTATGACGATTATGTCCTTTGAGTATTTGCTGATACCGTATGCACACGTGCTTCGTAATCTCGTCGTTTTATTATATAGCGCAGTTATAGTATATCATAAAATAATTTTACAGTACTATACCATAATTTTATGATACAGTAAATGTTTATATATCGTGCTTTTATAACAGATATTTGTAAAGTATTATAATAATTATATGTAGTAATTTAATTATAGCAAAATCAGAAAAATTTAATTTTACCTATGAGATCTTGCCGATCGATGTTGCCGTGAATGAAGAGATTTTCCGGTAAATCGGTATTCGTACTATCCTTATTAATCATCCACAAGACGGCTTGGCCTTCTCTACCCTGAGGCAATTTCTTCGCCAATTCTGTCACCAATGTCTCATAACTATCGTCCAAGAGAGCAATGATGGTACCTTGTCTGTGTTCTACCATAGACTTCTGTAAATCCTTTGATAACGGATGCGGACCTCTGCAGTGATGGCAGCCGATCTGAAAGTAATATCAAGGCCACTTTAACCGATAGCTCAAGACATTATGTCGAGCAATATGAACCGCTATATTTCGAAACGAACAAAGAATAACTTGATTCGCTTGACGAACCTCCACGAGTAACTGCGTCAACGATGCGAAACTGGAACGCAAGACTGTATCGGCTCCCCAAAGCACCAGACGAACGTCGGAATAGTCGTCTTTTATGTCGTTATTGGCATTCGGTAAGTACTTAGTTAGTAAGCGCAAAATGTGAAAATGATAATTAATCTTAACGTTGTGGAATAAGAAATGCTCATCGAATCTCATCCAGATCCTCGTCCAAAAACCACCACTGCGCATCGGTAAAGCGACTCCAGTGTTCTCGAACGCATATACTTCCTCCTCCGGATTTCCTATCCAAATCACCGGAATCGATTCGATATGTCGCACCCACGGTAGTAAACAGCTATCGTGTCTGAAAATATCGAGGAGGAAAATGTATACAACTAACAATATCTTTTCAATTATCTTCAATCACATTTTCAATAAATCTTCAATATTTTCTTTTCAATCTATATCTAAAATATAAAAATATTATTTCTACTTCTTGAAAACACTAATATTTATTCAATATTGAAAATATATTGAAGATATATTGAAGATATATATTTGAGATAATATTGAAGATATATTTAAAATTATATTTATTTATTGTAATATATTAATTTCTCTCATATTGTGTGCGTGTTATAAGATATCTCATATATGTATAATATTAATATAGAAGATATTTTTTATAATATGCATTTTTCTTATTATATATATTTAAGTATTTAAATATTATATATATAAATATTTAAATATTATATATATAAATATACATATATATATATTTATTTATTTATTTATTTATATATATATAATTATATATATATATATATATATATATATATATATATATATATATATATATATATATATACATTTTATATAT